GTTTTGTTTCCTTTCTTTTTTTTTTTTTAATTTTATTTATTTATTTGTCAGAGAGAGAGAGAGAGAGAGAGAGCACAAGTAGGCCGAGAGGCAGGCAGAGGCAGAGGGAGAAGCAGGCTCCCCGCCGAGCAAGGAGCCCAATGCGGGACTCGATCCCAGGACGCTGGGATCATGACCCGAGCCGAAGGCAGCCGCTCAACCAACTGAGCCACCCAGGCGTCCCTTGTTTCCTTTCTTGATCGAAAAGTTAAGCCCAAAGATCCAAAGATCACAATGGCAGGCATGGTTGAAAAAGGAAAGAAAGAAGAAAGCATGTATTAAATGTTGAAAGCCCACTGCCCAGCGTGGTCAATCTACTGGATTTCTTGGGGCAGTCTAGCAAGCAAAGAAACAGATTTTTATGGCTAGCCATAATTCTATGCACCGCCCAACTCCCTTGCTCAGCATTCCCGGATGCAAAAGCTTAAGTATCACCTTTTCCTCACAAAATAAATTTTTTATGGTCCTATCTTTCGCCCCATAACTTTAGTTCCAATTTAAGGTAATTACACTCTCTAGGCCCCTGGTGCTTGTAAGTCCAACCCTTGCCCGAAGAACCTCGGCTTGAAAAACACACACGCCCAGTTTTCGTGGGAGCGATACCGTCCACTGAGTGCCTTACAGTTCATCACCATTTTCCAAGGGACTTTCTAAAACCCTTAGAGAAAACAAGTCTCAAGAACTCGCTCACCCACTATGCAAACTCCCCAAAACCTACCGCACACCTGTTGTTTACTCAGTCCCAGTAACAACACAGAAAACTTTCTACAAGAGGAACGTGTACGTCAGGGAGCTGCCCCTTCAAGTAGAGGTTTGGATCTAAAAATAATGCCCAGTGGGATGGGGGTAAGGGGAAGGGTTGCTGTTGAGCAAACATGGAACCATGTTCCAATTATTATCCGTATTTGAACTCTACATTCCCCAGGAGTAACCCCATTCGAGTAGGGTTCCTATACTTTCCTCTTTCATCATCTCCTTTATCCACCTCTGGTGAAACTAGACAAAAGTACATACAGCTGAGAAGGGGATGCACAAAATCCAGCCTGTTTTCTCCAGTTTCCTCTTTTATATCGAAAGGAACCAGGCTGAATAAAGTATTTACTTGACCAATGGCAGCTAATTACTTACTATCCAATATTTCAAAAATTTCATCAGATTACGTTTAGAGGGTTTTTTTTAAAAGAAAAAATATATTTTTCGAAGATTTTGAGAGAGAGCATGCAAGACAGCACAAGCAAGGGGGAGGGTTAGAGGGAGAGGGAAAAGCAGGCTCCCCGCTGAGCAGGGACCCCCCCCCCCACCGACATGGGGCTCCATCCCAGCACCCTGCAATCATGACCTGAGCTGAAGGCAGACGCGTTAAGCCACCAGGAGCCCCTCAAAGAAAAATATTAAAACAGAAGGCTAGGTTTCCTCCCTCTCTGACTCGCCTAGCATTTAGCATTGCCATAAAAAAGTCCACAAATGAACAGCAAAGCTACATAATGCACACTTCTAACTGGGCAGTTTTTTAAAGAAAAGGACTCTTTCCAACTCCAGTTAATAGATTTGATACAAAGAACAGATTTCTGCAACAAATACATTTAGGACTTGATATTTTACAGTGTCGCTAATGAAGGTTCTAGCTATAGTAAGAAAAAAAAAAAGTATTTTTTCCCCAGGATATCAAATGTTCTGACTCACCATTTCACTGAAGTACAAGTAAAATGAAAATGCAAATGAAATGTATACATATTTATGACTTTACCTACCAGCTGTATGGCGGTGCCGCCTTTGGCTTCTGGCTTTATTTACCAGGAAGAGAAGCTTGGAAAACCACCATACATTTGTATTTCTATTCAAATAGTTCCCTTTCCTCCAGCACTGGTTGGAACAAAGTATTAATTGAGTCTGGTGATATACATAAGTGAAGAGAATCACAGGGAGGAGATAAAAACAGACAAATATTTTCTCTTTAATGGTAACTGCTTGGATGAGAACATTTAAAAATATAAATACTAAATCATTTAAAACTATGCTACTTCACTAATAAGTATTAGCAAACAGAAGTTTCCCCTTAACCTCCATGAATTTCTAAAACTCAAAATGTACCTTCACCATAGAACTCCCAGCAAAACCTTAAATATGAACCTTCTTAAGAATTCCACATTAGGGGTGCCTGGGTGGCTCAGTGGGTTAAAGCCTCTGCCTTCGGCTCAGGTCATGATTCCAGAGTCCTGGGATCGAGCCCCATGTCAGTGTCCGGCTCTCTGCTCAGCAGGGAGCCTGCTTCCTCCTCTCTCTCTCTCTCTCTGCCTGCCTCTCTAATTGTGATCTGTCAAATAAATAAATAAAATCCTAAAAAAAAAAAGAATTCCATATTAGCCCTGCTCCTCCTGCGAAACTTCTGTGTGACCCCCAGCAAGCCAATTCACCTCTCTGTGCCTCAGTTGTCCTATGCATAAAGATGGCAAGCCTCTGAACTATTTAACTATTTAATTTCTTTATCACAAAGACATACCTCAATTCCAATGGCTGGATCTGTTAATAATATTTAAGAACCATTCTACTTCTTCCCCATCCCTCTTCTGAAAATAAAAACACATCTTTTGCGTATATAGGAGGGAGGGATGGAAAGAAGACCCTTAAAGGGGAACAGAAACTAGGTCGGTTTTGTTAATTAGGTTTCCTCTCTGAAACCACGAGCCAGTATTAGCAGCTGCATGAAATTTACTCAGGGGGGGGGAAATGTGGTTGGTTTCCCCATTTCAAGACTAACTCTTTCATAAAAGGGCGCCAAGTCAATTTCTAGGAATGTGTCTTTCAGCCAGCTACACAGTACTGAAAACTAAGGGAGGGGGAGGAAGGCAAAGGAGCATGACAGAGATGACATGAGTCTATTGTCTACACGGAGAAAGAAAAACTCTTCTTTATAGGATGTGTTCAGGAAAAACATCAACAAAAGCACCTGTACGTGCCAGCTTCAAGAGGTGCACCTCTTGTAGGTAAATTACCTTATGGGTCAGTAGATGCTGGGAATTTACATGATGAGAAGCTCTGTTTTACAGCACATGTTTTCCTTATGAGTGATTTCATTTGCCCCCTTCGTTCAGTGGCGATTTGAGTACTTACTATACACAAATTCCGAGTCTAAAAATAAATTAGAGGTATGCGTTGTCTGGGATATTCGAGGGAATCTTGACACATATTTTAGAGTAGATCAGCCCATTGGGACATTTCCAAGTCAAGTAATAACACTAAACAAGATAGATGCTCAGCTAAAGTGCCCTGGAAATGGTTTCCCTTCACTAAATGGGACAGCATCAAGGGGGAGGGGGAGTAAATTACAAGTGAAACAGAAAATTAGCTAAATAGAATGGTGAAACTAGAAAGAGAAAGATAATTCATTATGAATCTCTGGTTTCATATATGGGACACCTGAGGTTCAGAGGTGATAGGATTTGGCCCCCAGGGTCATACAGCCAAACAGAGTCCCAGAACTGGAACTCTCATCACCGGCAGGCAGGTGGAACAGCCCCTGGTGTACTGCAGTATCCATCCTGTCTCCTCCCCGCCATCAGAAGTGGGCCAATGGCATCATCTGCAAAGCCATGGACTGGACATCAAGAGCTTTGAGTTCTAGCCTTGTAACCCTCACTAGCTTAGAGAGAATATCCCAGAAAATATCCCCGTCTGAAACCTCGGTCTCCTCACCTGTCAAACGTGAACAGTGATTCACAGTAAGACAGCGCAGACCACAAAAAATGCAGAAGCCATCTGGCCACTGTGAAACCGTCTGCAAGTACAGAACCGGCACGGGGCTGTGATGGGGGGCCGGGTGGGGGTCTATCAGAGAACCTGCCTGTGACTCTAAGTCCAGCCGCTAATTACCTTGGTAAGTCCCTCAATCTCTGAGCCTCACGTTATTCCTGAGCATGTGGTCAATAATCTTTGCCCTGCCTCCCTCGGAAACGGTCAGAACTTAATAAAAGCACTGAAAATCATTCAGAAATAACACGGCATTGATTCAAGTGCAAGGTATCATTAGGAGATCCCTCCAGTCTCCTTAATTTGGACAGAAATGTAATGTGCTTTTACCACTCAATTCTGAACAGTTTTCTTTCTCCACTAAGAGGTCACTCCCCGTGAGGCTCAGGTTTCCCAGCCCTCCCCCGGGGGGCTCCAAGTCTCCACTCCCACCGCTGTACCGGGAATGCATGTTCCCCTCAGCTCAGACACCATGCACAATGCTTACTCAACGAGCGCCACCGGCATGGACTTGGCTGAGAAAGATTTTTTTCCCAGGGCCTCCTCTCAGCTGGAAATGCTCTGACTAAAGCTTCCATGAGCACTATTTTACTTCATCGCATTAGAGGGGTAATGAAACCAACCCTCAGGCTTTTCTCCAACAACTGCAGAACACTTCAGCCTTGCCACGGAACAAGAGAGAAGTCTGAGGGCATGCTTGTCACCAGAGGGGCAAAAGAGGTTCCCGAAATCCATGCTCAGGAGTGCAGATGGGGAGACTGATTTTTTTTTTCTTTGCAAGAGACGAATACATTGTGAGGCCCACCCAGTGTCTCAAGGGTCACTGACCCTAGAGGCAGGTAGGGCCTGGGGAGGCTGAAAAGGTCCTGCAAAGATTGGGGGGTGGCATCTGGGGGTCTGCAACACTATGCCCTCAGAGAGCATCAGAGGAACTAGCACGTCCTTGTTAAGAGCCAGGTGAAAGAATTCATCAGCTTATCCAAACAACTTCTCTGGAACAGGTTTCTACCCAGCCACACCGGGCACCAGAGACAAGCGAGCTTGGGGGATGAGAAACACAACAGGCTCATCTGCATAGATGAGAGAGAGATAAGGAGACATTCGTTGTCTTCTGTTTTGGGGACTCCCGGCTCCGGCCTGACGAATGGAACCCCAGCATTCTCCCTCTCCTTCCCCCCCACGCCCCCCCCCCCAGCTGTTGAGGCGTCACGTTGATGGGGCTGGGGGAGGGAACCCGGGAAGCGCAGAAGTCCGCTGCTGCATTTAGGCTGGAACCGTACCGCACCTGTGCAATCCGGCTTCGGAGCCAGAAAGGACCAGAACACCGCCTCGCAAGCCCCTCCGGAGATCCCAGGGGCGACTGACAAGTTCGCCTGTGTTTACTGCCCGGGGGGGAGGGTGGTGGGAGAGCTCTCCCGCCGCTGCCAAACTCAGCTTGTTCCCTTGTAAAGGGAAGGGAGCTCCCGCTTAAGCGAACCCAGAGAGGTCCCCGAGGGTCACTGCGGCCGGGGGTGGGGGTGAGCGAGCGGGTGGGTGCTCGCGGGGAGCGCGCAGCCGTGGCCCCAGCGGAATGAAGGTCCCACTTCGGTGGCCACTCGCAGCCCTCCACCCTACCCCCCGCACAAGGCGAACAAAGTGCGAGCGCAGAGACGTCCGGGGTTCCCCAGGACGCAGAGCCCCCGAGCCCCAGCCCCGGAGGAGGGGCCGGGGACGCGCAGGAAACTTACCTCACCCGGGCAGCATTCGGGCGCCTCTGCTGTCGAGACCAGTTGCGCCACAGTCGGCAAGTTATCTGGATGGAGTTGCTTCCACCCGGCGCCGGGAGATCTGTGCGGGCGAGCGGCGGGAGGGGCCGGAGGGTCGGCGGGGCGGGGGCGGGGCGCGGCGCGGCGCGCGGAGCCGGCAGGTGCCGGGCCGGAGCCGCCGGGCCAAACTCGCCCGGGACGCGCCTCCGCGGGGGCGCGCGGCTGCGAGTGTGCAATGCGCGCGCGCCGCGGCAAGTGTGTGTGTGCGTGTGTGTGTGTGTGTCCCCGCTTTCCCCTTCCTTCCCCGCCGGTCCTCCGGCCAGATGGAGCGGCGAGCGTCAGCCGGAAAGCCCCAGCCGCCGGAGCGCTCCGCTGCCCAGCTCGGCTTCAGCGCGGCGCGCTAGGGGCGGCGGGGACCGGGGGCCGAGGAGCAGCGGCGCCCCCGGGCTCGGGCGCGGGTTCCGGCGCCCTGCGCGCCTGAGTCGGAGCGAGGCGCAGGGAGAGCAGTGTGCGCGGCGGTTGCCGAAGCTCGGGGAGGCTGCAGGCCCCGCCCGCCGGCCGCCCAGGCTCTTCCCCTTTTCTCTCCACCCCCTTGCTCCAGTCCCGCACGCCCTGCAGCGAAGCCAGGCCGGTTTGCAGCAGCGGCGGCGGGATTTTCCGCCGCAGCCGGACTGGGCGCCCGAGTCGGTGCCCCGGGATGCGGGGCTCTGTCCCGCCGCCGCCTGCCTAGCACGGGGAGCCGGGCTGGGCCGGGTTCCGAGGTCTGGCCGGTTTCTCCTAGGCTCCAGGGTTAGCCGAGGGCTTCCCGGTGGTTCTGAAGTCTTGCAGCCCCGCTAAAAGCCGTGTTTGGGATAGGGCATCCTCCCTTCCTCAGGCCGCCGAACTCTGCAGCGCCTGGTCGCCTGCCCACTGGACTCTGCTTGCCGCGACGCCCGCATTTAAGCACAGATGCCCCCTCCACTAGGAAGGGACAGCTAGGATTCCGAGGCGACGGCGTGCCCCCTTCTAATGACAGCAGGAGTTCCCAGGAAGTAGGACCTACCCAACGGGCAGGGTAGGTTGGCGAAGGGGTCACGAGGGAGGGGAGGCCGGAGGGACGTCAAGAGGTCCAGAGCGAATGGACTGTGATGGGAGAGGGGACTGAATCTTCCCGCGGGCGCTGAATGGGCGCGGGGACCCTTGCAATCTCGTCGGATGGCGGGGGGGGGGGGGGGGGGGGGGGGGGGGTGGGGAGTAGATCTGAGGACTCTTCTTGGAAAAATGCTGTTTTGCAAGCTATCGCCAAATTTGCTTAATAGTAACTGAAAAGGTACCTACCGGCTCTCTCCCAGATGAATGGAAGCAAGTGGTATTTCTCACCCTCGCCATTTCCTTCCTTACCCCTTGTTTAATAAAACAAACATACTGATCTGAAACCTGGGATACAGTGTGCTGGAGGGAGAACAGCACTTCACGGTCTTTATCCTCAGATGTCCCTGGCCTGGCGAGTCACAGTTTCTGATTGAAAGGATACTCCCTAAGTTCTCAGCAAATGGAACAGCTCTTTTGGGTTTTGAAATCTTTTTGTACCTCCCTCTCCCCACCTTGGGTAAGTTTGTTATGGTTTAATAACAACTCCCAAGGGAGTGCAGTAATTCCTTGGTCGTGCAAATATCTGTAATTTCTTCGACTGTTTTCCCAACCTGCTTCTTCTAGATGTGTCTGGCCATGACTGGGAGTTTTAGGGCATCGTGTGTTGAGAACCCTGTGCCTTCGTTCCGGTCTTATCTTGGCATCCTAGACTCTCCAAAGCTCAGAGCAGGAGCACACATCTCGTTCAGCTTGCTCCCTTTACAGAAGAGAAAACTAAGACCCGAAGACATTAAGTGGCCCAAGAGCCAGAACACAGGTTCCTTGACTCCCGATTCCTGAACAATAACAGAAACACAGAGTTAGCAAAGTTCAATTTGGGGTCGATAGAGGGGGTGGCGGAGAAAGAATGGATCCAGGAACCCTTCCTCTGCTTGCAGTGAATCACTGCGTAGGGGGCAGCACCACAGGGCTGTAAATAGCAGGCTGGCTGGAATCTGGGAACCAGGATCCCAGTCTCCCCCTCTCCGCTTCTCACCCCTCTGGCCCATCTGAAACCCAGGGATTGGAAAACAAATCTGCCTCCCAGAGTGGCAAGTGTAAATGCAAAGCCAGTTTTCAGTATTTCCTGGGAATGTGGGGGAGGTGAAAACAGGTAAAACCAAACCTAAATCACGGTATATCGGAGGTCACAAACATTACATACAGATGCATGCACACACGTGTGCAAATAGCCATCCTCTCCCATTAAGAGACTGACTGAGTCCCTTCTCTACAGCATGGGCACCAACAGCCTTAGGTGTCCAGAGGCAAATCACAAAGCGGACTGCCCACTGGCTTTTTGGAGAGCTAACTCGTATTTAACAGGATTCTCAGGAACTCTACCAAGAGCTTTAAGAGGCTCATTATGGTGAATTAATTCCTGGAATGAGGGACCACATAGTTATTGGTCCTATACGAGACCTGTTCGTTCTTCCTGGTTCTGTTTCTACATAAACGTCAACAGGAATTTGGGAAAGTCACCCTCTAATGGAATTAAAACAAGATCAGTATTACTAGTGGTAGGGACTCAGCCAGAAACTTCAGGAACATTTAAAAATTAGAGATTGCAGGAATTGTATGTCCCTGAATAATCACTGAATTCTACTCCTGAAACCAATATTGCACTGTATATTAACTAAAATTTAAATAAAAATTAAAAAAATAGAAATTAGAAAATGCTCATCTAATTGTTTTACTTAATTTCAAATGGGACTTCTGATTCTAGATTTTAGTCCATTTTCTTAATAATGCTATTTATACTCCCCAATGAGAAATATGTCTAGATTCCTTATAGATTTTATGACATTAATGGCCCCAATGAATGACCTCCCTTTATCCTTTGTCTCTAATTTTGTAGTGCCTGCCCACTCTAGGCTCACCTATATGGTTAACTTCGGCCAGTGGAATGTCAGTAGACTTAACGTAAATGAAGCCTTTCAAAACGCTTGTGCAACATGCCTCTTAAAATTTCCAGAATCCAGAACACTGACAATACCAAATACTGGTGCAGATGTGGAGCAACAGGAACTCTCTTCCATTGCTGGTGGGAATGCAAAACAGTAGAGCTACTTTGAAAGACAGCGGACAGTTTCTTACCCAAGGAAGCGTGACTCTATCCCTATGATCTGGCAACAGCGTTCCTTGATAGTAACCAAAGGGAGCTGAAAAACCGTTCCATACAAAAACCTGTACACAGAGTTTTTAGCAGCTTTATTCATAATTTGGACAAAAGTGGGAAGTAACCAACATGGTCTTTAGTAGGTGAACAGATAAGTGACCTGGGGCGTCCAGACACTGGAATGTTACTCAATGCAGGGGGATGGGAGGGATGAGCTATCAAAGCTATGAGAAGACCGAGGGGAAACTTAAGTGCACATTACTGAGGGAAAGAAGCCAGTCTGTAAAGGCTACCTATTGTTTGATGTCCATTATACAGCATTCTGGAAAAGGTAAAACTATGGAGACAATAGGAAGATCAGTGGTCACCAGGGGCTAGGGGCTGGGGAAGTTTGAATGGGTAGAGCACCAAGGATTTCTGTGGCAGTGAAACTACTCTGTATGATACTACAATGGTAGATACATGTCGTCATACATCTGTCCCAAACCATAAAGGGTACAGCACCAATTCCTAACATCACCTGTGGTGTTTGGCCAATATTGATGTGTCAAGGTAAGTTCACCAGTTGTAGCAAGGGTACCACTCTGGGGAGAGATGTTGATAAGTGGGGGGGGCGGTGGCTAAGCATGTAGGGGGTGGGCAGGGAAGATATGGGAAACCTCCATACCTTCCCCTCAATTTTTTTTATGAATCCAAAACTGTTCTAAAAACGTTTTTCTTTTAAAGTTTGTGCATTTTTGCTTTGTTCTTGGAATTCTGCCAAGAAGGACAGCCCACTAAAGGGGGCACCTGGGAGGCTCCTGGGGGGTTCAGTCAGTTAAGCATCTGACTCGTGATTTCCACTCCGGTCATGATTTCAGGGTCATGAGATCGAGCCCCGCGTTGGATTCCAGGCTTAGAAGGGAGTCTGCCTGACATTCTCTCTCTCTCCCTCTGCCCCCCTCCCATTCTCCCTCTCAATCTCTCTCACATAACTAAATCTTTAAAAAAAAAAAAAAAAAAAAGGATGACAGACCCTGCGCTACAGAGATGAGTCATCACAGCTGAGGCCGTTCTTGACCAGCAAGCCCTCAGGAGACTGCAGAGGCACGAGCAAGTCCAAATGAGATTGGCCAGGTTTGGTCCACATCACAGACCCACCCGCCTCTCCCGCCCCCACCCTGGACTCATAGATTTGTGAGAAATAATGCAGGGTGGCTATTTTAAGCCATTGCTGCAGTCATCCACTGCCTAATAACAAACCACCCCAAAACTAATCATCAAAACCCCCCACCATTTACTTTTTCTCATGGTTCTGTGAGTCAGCTGGGCACTGGCTAGTGTCATTCCCTTGGCTACAGTCAGCTAGCTTCCAGCAGCTGGGCTGAACTGGAAGGTGCGAGAAGGCTTCACTCACACCTCGGGCACTTCCATCTGCCTCCACATGCGGTCTTTTCAGCAGACGGGGGGCTCAGGCTGCTTACACAGCAGCGGGCTTCCAAGGTGGAGGAGCTGGAAATTTAGGACTGAGCGTGGAAGTTCTAGGAAACTACATCTGCTCCATGCTATTCATTAAAGCAGGCACAAGACCCACCTGATTCAGGAAGAGGGGAAATACCCTCTCCGTGTTGATTTGAGGGCCAGTAGGGTGTACAGGAACAAAAGGGCCAGATAGCAGCCATTTTGGTGAGACTATCCCACCTGCCAAGTTTTAGGGTGGTTGTTACCCTGCGCTAGACACATTCTTCTAAGCGATAGGGCTTTGGGCTAGTTACAGATCATTTCTGGACCTTTCTATGAGATGAGGGAGTTTGGATTTCTCTAGGTTGCTAATGCATATTTAACTTCTTCTTTAGTGACATGTCAAGGGAAAATAATCCAGAAGGGAGTTGCCAAAGGGAGTCTGGGCAGCACGGGGCAGCTGTGGGTATGTCTAGCAGTTCCTCTGCCCCTAATTCTTTTACTAGGGAAAAATCCCTCAAGAATTCACAGGAAAGACATGCATGGCCTCCACGGACAGCAAACGGTACAAAAGTAGAGGCTGTATCCTTTCACAACTTCTCAAGGATCATCTTACATCACCTTGCCTTCTCTTCTAGAAACTTCATTTCTGAGCAGAAAAGAGAGGCCAGAGGCTTAGCTGACTCCCCTCTACAACTTGAGGTGCTCATTTCAGAGGACTCGTTGACCCTAATTTCAAGTTTGCTCTTTAGATCAGTGAAGGCTTGGACACCTCACTGCCGATTCCCTTCCTTCTTCTTCTCCAGTACCATCTTCCCTTTCCTCGAGCTCTTGCTCTGTGGCATCTTTCTTCCTTGATCCCATCCATCTCCCATTCCTCCTCCCTCTCAGGCTTGAGCAGAGCATTGAACTGGGAGTCCCGAGGCCTGCTTTCTCATTGCAACCCTGTCCTTGCAACAGGGAGGGCTGCATCCTCTCTTGGATTGAGATTCCTGGTCTGTATCATGGGAGTGTGAGACAGGAGGCCCAGAAAGGTCACTTGCAAGCCTGATAGTCCCTGATCATTGGACACCTGCTGGACACTCCGTGCCAGGGCCTGGAACAGGGTGAATAGTGAGGACTCAGAGCCCTTAGTAGGACATACACATGGATCTCAAGCACTTCCCATGGTCTCCATACTCTTTCCATAACTTGTTGTTGTTGGTAGACCGCATGCCATTCTACCAGCTGCAAGCCCAGTTTAACTCATTATTCTTTGCCCGGAAGTTGGCATCCTCCTAGCTCTCCTCAAGGCTAGCTGATGTCTGCATTCTTCAGTGAGAACCGTGATGGAAAGGGGAGGCCCAGTGTTAGCGGGCACCCAGGTCTGACCCTAAAACATTCTCTACAACACCAGCTAACTCAACTAAGAAATATGAAAAAGAGCCAAGAAATTGGATTTTCCTAACTTTTAGAATATCCTAAATCTCCAAAGAATTTTCCTAACAAATTCATACCAAAATATAAGATTATATGCATCGAGATTGTAATCATGCAAAAAAATAGAGGCACATGAATAACTCCTGAAAGAGACCAATTACGGGCACCTGGGTGATTCAGTCGGTGAAACGTCTGCCTTTGGCTCAGGTCACGATCTCGGGGTCCTGGGATCGAGCCCCGCCATCAGGCAAGCAGGGAGAGTCAGTCTGTTTTTCCTTCTCCCTCTGCCTGTTCCCCCACTCCTGCTCATGCTCTCTCTCTCCCTCTCAAATAAATAAATAAAATCTTTTTTAAAAATAAAGTAAAATAAAAGAAAGAGACCAATTACAAATTGCAGTTTTGTGCTAGGGTGAGGGAATCCTAAGATAAAGACAAATTTTGACATTCCACAGATTTCACATTTAAAAAAAAAAAAGCACACGCCATTAAAACCTTTAGTCACACTTCTACCAGCCTGTACCATCTATCGTCTGTGGTGCTCAGCTATCCTTTTCTCTTTGCCATCTTTCTCTTATTACAAACAGACTCACACGCGTAGCTAGATGAATTTTCACTTGGTCCAGAAGTTACCAAAAAAGTCACCATGTTTGATTTGAAGACTGAACGAGAAATGAGGGAATGACAAAGGGAGGGGAGGAGGAAGGAAAACAGAGAAAGAGGGAGCAGCACAGAGAATCCAGCTGCCTTTCAGGAAGCAGCGCAAAGACATGTGTACACATGTGTACACACGTATATATCTAGTCTGGACGTGGATTTTCTGGAACTTTCTGGAACCTGAAACTCAAGGTCTTCATGAGACAGTAAGAAACCTTCTTTTGGTTGGAAAGTCTGGTTTAAAAGCTTGAAACAGGGAAAAGAGGCTGAAATACATCAGTGGTATTACCCAAAGCCTCTCAAAATTGACTGTGATGATTACAGCCTGAGAAACAGTGTCACAAAAGACACAAAATCCAGCTGTGGAACGAGGAATGAGCCCAGGGCTGCCATCTTATCCCCAGAGCGGGACCAGGCCCTAGGTTCCATCCTCAAGTTCTTCAGGCCAAAGCCTTCTTCATTCCAACCTGTGAAATACTGTTTGTTTTTGACCTCCTTGAAACATTAAAAAAAAATTCTAATCAATAGTGAACACACGGGACACCGAAAAGGTCACCATAAAAGGGTGACGGGTCTAGAAAGAATATCAAGAAGTAATAGAGTCTCCTGGAAAGGACAAAAAAGGAAGGACACGTAATGAGTACAACACAGACCCTTGAGCTTCCTACATACAGGCAGCAGCTGTCCACCCACGACATCAGAGCCAACACCGGCCACAGCCACGGTGGGAGGGCCTTGGGCCCAGACACTGAGCCACAGGAGTTCCCATCCTGTGCGGAGGGACAGCTTCCAGAACCAACTTTGAATCTCTCAGCTTTGCTTTCTGGAGGGAGATGGTGTGCGTGTTGCTAACCACACAAGAAATACTTGTTGAAGGGAAGGGAGTGTTGACTTTAGTCAACCAGTGAAGCCCCCATTCAGATTTCTCAAGGTCTCTGATGCCTCCCCCAGTGAATGCACCAGGAAGACAACATGAACTTTAGCTTTTATTTCTCA